CAATCCAAATCTCAAAATCTGCTGATATCCACATACTTTACCAGCAACCATTTGACTGCAAATCCACACAAGAACTATCAGAAACGCCCTTCTTCGTCCGAGTTCTCATAGCAACTTCGCATTTCGGACTCTGTTAAAAAGTCCCACAGAAATTCCAAAAATACACTTCAATCCTCATAAACACACCTGTGAACAAAAGATTCGTTAACAACTCCAGCATTGTAACTTTTAATACTAAATTTACTTTCCACACAATCTAAAATACGTGACTGAAGTCTTGCCATCACATCTATCATTGCAATATAGGCCATTTCAAAACATGCACGACACGAACCAACGAGCAATTAAACCACTCCAGCAAAAGATTTTTCAACGTCAACAGGGTTGCCATACAACACGCAATCGTGCCAAAAACCTGCACAGAACACATATCGTCACATTTGATGTTATTAAAGTGCATATAAGAGTACAGCCAAAAAAATTCATAAAATCAGCATTTTAATATAATGACCTCAATTTTTGTTACATACTTAATATACTAATTATTAATATGTATTGTATAAAGAATATCGCATTAATCGAGATAAACATGCAAAATACTAAAATTATAACTATACGCATGAAAACAACTACTATACACATGAGAAAATATTACAAATATGAAACATAAATGAAAATTAAGCAATAATTATCCATAGATAAGGAAATTCCAATTTAATAATTCTGCTGTGTGTGGAATAATTCAAAACGAGAATCAACACACAGGACAATAACAGCTTTTTTGCCAAGCAAGTAAGATGCATCATGGACCAGGAAAGCTAATAGCTTTCCCCTTTTGTAATAATGCTGTAATAATCAGTTACTTTCAATTCAATGCTTTTGTAATAATAAGTTACTTTTCAATTAACCAAGAAAGTCTATGTTAATTTTTTAAATAAATATAAAAAAAGGACAACTGGTCCAAGTTTTTCCATCACGGAAGTTCGCCGACGTTACACCCGCTATAGTCAGTCAGATGCATTTAAAAAAAATCACCCTGTTTTCAAGTTACGTATACATGACGCTGGGCTGAAGAGATTGATCGAAGCTCTTCGCGTATATGCGACGCTGGGCTGGTAAAAGTGGAATCAATGTGTCGCGAATACGTGCCACTGGCCCTGAACGGGTTAAAGGAGCACAACAGATGGCCACTTCGGAATAATAAAGACTTTGGATAGTGTTTGAGAGCGCTTCTAATGGATTAATGTGATGGCTGATGAGCAAAAGTGGTGTCAATCATGTGATGCTTGTGGGAGCCAGAAAGAGGACGAAAGAAATGCAGCATGAGAAGCTGCAACGTTACACAAACTGCTGATAACAACAAATACATGCCTATTGTCATTACTTCCCAAAATGACCTGAAGCACATCCTATCCCTGAACAAGTGGCTGTAATGGTAGCAGAGCTAACGATAAAGCACTGCATTTCCAGGTTCAGTGTACCTTTTCAGTTACATTCCTATCAAGGAAAAAATTTTACCTCAGCTGTAATTAAGGACCCTGCAAGCTACTAAGCATCGACAAAACCCAAACGACACCTTTTACATTCGCAGTCAGATGGCATGGTAATAAGGTTTAATCGAATCATCCTTCATAACCTCTCGCTAGGAGTTTCTAGAAACTAACAGGTCTGGGATAAGAAGTCATCTCTCTTTTGCTGCCCTATCACACTGTTGTCCACGAGACTACCGGTTACCTCCCATACCAAATGCTCGACAGTCGTGACCTTTATCTGCCTTGTGATACCTTGTTTGGTCATCCTCCAGATGCACCTTCATCTCCAGGCATAGTTTGGAGTGATGCACAGATTTGCAGGAAAGTGAGTCAACTTAGCAATGGAGTGGATGAAGACCTGATACAAGATGACAGCTACAGAACATTGATTCAACGAAGGTAATAAGGTGTGGTTGTGGAGACAGAAAGGACTATATCCTAAACTACAGTCACCTTGAGATGGTCCTTACACAGTCCTATACAGGCTGAATGACTTTGTCATTCAGATTCATAAGTCATCAAATTTTGTGCCTAAAATTGTTTGTTATGACAAAGGTCAGTTCCCTACTATGGCCACAGTACATAGTTCCCATTGTGTATATAATGTAAATAGTATACTAAGACCACAGTCCTGTGTATATATATTTATAAATGTATGCATTTTTTTAATTGCTTTGTTTTATGTTATTCACTGAAATTATTATTTCAGTATTATATTGATTTTCCTTTTGTTGTAACTGCAGCTTCCTATCCAGGGATTGTACTGCACAGATCATGAAGTTCTTGGGAAGGGGCAATATCATGGATTATTAAATATATATATATATATATATATATATATATATATATATAAGATAAAAATATATGAATCAGAATTATAATATAACTATAAACATAAATTCTTCCTCTCTATTCTAAAATCGTAATAACTTCTCTGCATTGCGTCACTTCTAGATCACTCTATGATCGGTGCAGCTCTGATGACGTAATCATTGGGAACTGAAACTGTCCTTGTAAACCAAAACTTTTCTCTTCGCGTGCCTTCATCTTGCATAACTATGCACTTCAGCTTTTGCTCTCTACTGTGCTAAGATGTAATTTTGCTGGCTTGCTTTCTATCTCAACAACATCAAAAATGTAAATCTTCTGTGGAAAGGCACAACTAGAGTGCCAAGTGATTGTGGCCACAAATATCAGTTGGAAATAAAAATGGAATTAAAATCGCTTCTACTGCCAAGTTTTATTTACGAAGTCAACACATTAGCTTACGACGCAATCAGATTACTTCCTCTTCAATATAGGATAACTACGCATCTACAGTGTTCTGTCTTTTCCTTTCCTTGTGCTTTTAATATTACATATATATATATATATATACAGTCAAAAGTCGTTAATTCGGACACCCATAATTCGGAATGATCTATAATCCGGACATCAAAACTAAAAACTTTCTGCGCATGCGCCACGTTGACACATGCGCAGAGGCGTTCACGCGTGCACGTAAGACCTTTTACGACTGCGCATATGAGTGTGCGCAAGTGCAGAACACGTTTTCGCGTGCGCATTTTATGTGTAATGGACGTATAAGCTAAAATTATCTAATTATCTATTTCAGTTAATGTTGATGATTGCGTTGTTCCTTAATTTTCGAATTGCATCCGGCTTATTATTTTTTGCAGACTGTAAGAGCAATTTTATAAAAGTAAGCTTAAACTTTCGATTATATCAAATAGAATTTCCGATATATATTTGTTAATATGTAAAGGATCTAAAGCGAAAGTATGTTTTGAAATCCGAAATCTGTTTATCAATTTCACTTTATTTGGCTTATAATTCCTTACCAAATGTAGTATTTCATCTCGATATGCTCCGTCTTTGATATGATTTAAAACAAGTTCCTCGTCATTATAATTCGCTTCCGATAGCGAAGAAAAGTGACAGAGGTTATTGAAAACAAAAAAAAATTCGATTGACAAATTAGTCTTGACACAGCAATTATAGGACTTGAACGGCGGAACTTTGTAACTGAACAAGAAATTATGTCTGTTTAATAGAATTAAATAGAAAGTATTATCACATGAAACGAAGCAAAACTTAAACAACTTACATTGAAAGAAATGTTTAATAAAGTAAACAAATAAATATTAAGCTTTTTCTTTTTGCAAATTTTGATACCTTTAGATCATAATTGTTCTTTATTTCATAAATTACGGTTTCACATTTTTAATTTTAGAATTTCTGCATGACATCTTACGAGATTTAAACTGATGATCTATAATCCGGAAAAATCGATAATCCGGAATCGCCGAAGTCCCGACGAGTCCGGATTAACGACTTTTGACTGTATATGATGTTTTGAAAGTTGAGATTATTACAATTGTACTTCCATTTTGTCAAGAATTCTATAATTTAAGTTCACAAAATACGTTTCTATTAGATTAAAACAATAAAATATAAAATGTAATTACATAATACATATGCTATGCATGTGTATGATCTAATAAGTGACTAATATATATCAAATGACATTTTGATTTCTGATCAGTATAATTGGCAGTTCGGACAGATAATAAACACTCAAATACATATAAACAGTTTTAAAATACAGATATCTTACAATGGAATAACAAGCTTTCTGAGTGATAAAATATACAATGCACCCGGAAAATATGTAAAGGCCAATAAAAGAAATAAAAAAAGCAGATTTTGTAATGGAAGGTGTGCGTGTGAAAATGGCACACTGAGAGGGAAATAAAAGTATTTAGTATAAATTGTTACTGCCTATGTATATTTCGAACTATATGTATTGCTACACGAATGCAAAGCTTGTTGATATATATTCTATTTATGGGTATGTGGCTAAAATGGTGCAGTTATTAAAAAGAGGCATATGAATGATTCCCAAGCATCTCCTTTAAGCACTTGCCTATTTTCATCTGTAATGATACAGATAAAATACATGTCAGTGAGCTTTGCTTTTGGGTATTGATGGTTATCATTATTTGCATAGGGAATGACAATTCACTCCATCAGAACACTTTTTATCTCCCACTCAATAGCACCCTATAATCAACTTAACATACAATCTGGAGTCACACATTCTATTACAAAACCTGTCTCTTTTACGTTTCTGCCAGATATTTTCTATGCACTCTATATGTACAACATGACATGTATATTTAAATATATAAGTTAGAAAAGTTAATAAATGCAACATATTTTGAAATATAGAGATTAGATCGCTTACACATTCTCTACATTTTTATTATAATTTATAATAGAAATACATTGTGATCAAATCTTAGTATCACTTTGCAACAGAAATACAAACAATGATTACCAGAAAAACCATCTGGTGCATCACTTTTTTGTGTTTTCCTAAGGAAATGCTATTAATGTTAAACATTGTTATCAGTAAACGTAAATTTTTACACAGACATTTTTAAGAAATCTAAAAACTAAGCTTACTTTTAGGTGATAATCTCTTCAGTGTTTTACCAGAGGATCCTATGGCAAATCTCTGACCTCTAATTACAAGCACTGGTTTCTTAGAAGACAATCTTTTTAAGGTTTTACCAGATGCTCCTATAGCAAATTTCTGACCACGAATAGTAAGCACTGGATTCTGAGAATCTATATTAATATTTATATGAAAAATTTTAAATTATAGAAGCCACAAAAGAATTTAGAAATGACATGTATTTAATAATTAAATATCAACTTACTAAAGAATCTTTTCTTATTTTTGAATACACTCATATTGCATCTCGATCTACAAAAATATGAAATAAAAAATTCAATGTCAGTACCATGTTTTTGCAATTTTCAATTCCACACTAATGAATTCAGAATATATAAAACCTTACTTGGCAGATTTAATAGAAGATCCAGCAAAATATTTCTTTGAAAATCTTCTTTCTTTATGTAAGTAATGATGTTTATTATACTGAGTACGGCCTGCAAATAATGACCAAATTTTAAAAACAATAAGATATTTCAAACTCGTGTATTATATAAAAGATATCATTATTACCTTTTAAACATCTGTCTTTTTGAAATTCTTTAGGATATGCTGAATACCTATGTGAAGAAAATCGCCTGTTGAGCATGAAATACTTTGTTTTTATCATCCTAGCTGTTTGACTTATTGGAGATTTATTTTTATTTATGATGGTGCTTCTACTCTTATAAATTCTTTTCAGGAGTAAATTTTGTTGGTGTGAACTAGGATAAAAATTGCCATTTGCTTCACCTGAATCCTTGTTGGTCTTTCTATACAAATTCATCGATTTACTTTTGTTGTAAATTTCAGATCTTTTTAAAATATCACTCTCCATGCAAGCCTTGTTAATAAATTTATACTGTGAATTCAGTGTACAAGACTTTTTAGAGAAGGTGATTACAGTCTCTTTTTTTGTTTTGAGAGTCTTATTTTTAACTTGGTGAGGACTTTTCTTTACAGAATTGTTAATTTTATGAAGTGAATTAAGTGATTTCGTCATTTTTACACTAGATTTTCTAGATGCAGATGTTAACCTGAAAGGAGACAAATGTTTCTGTCTTGCAATATCAGCAGGCATTTTCATATTGACCAATTTATAAACCGAGTTTTTTCTTTTCGCTAATTTTACAGATTTTAATTTTTTGATTCCAGGGTTAGAGAAACTACTATTTTTATGCATATTATTAACAACTTTATATTTTGAATTCAACAATTTTTTGCGTTGAGCAGTAAATGGCTTTTCCTGTACATTTGATAAGTTATCAGGTACTGAATTAGAAACTACTTTTTGGTGAGGGCATATCTTATCATCACAGGAATTTTTGTAAAAATGATCATTATTAGGTGGTACCACCCTTTCATTTATTATTTTATATTTAGAAGCAAGTGGTTTTCTTTTAACAGTCTTTTTCTTGCTGTTACAAGAAAGCTTTCTTGCTGTAGGACTGGATACTGGTGTAGCAAATTTCATTGCTTTTCGAAATTTGTCATCAGAACACAACTTTATATAACAGTCATTTTTATTAAGTGGTAATTTTTCATTTATTATTTTATATTTAGATGAATGCAGTTTTTTTTTGGAAATTAATTTTTTCTTATTACTATTACAGAGCTTCCTTGGCCTGAAGGCACTTGATTTAGGTGTTGTATATTTTATTTCTGTCTTCAATGAGTTTAAACAACTTTTTATATTTATATCTGAATTCACATCTTTATTCAGATTTTCCTTCAAACTTAACAGTACATTTTCAGCTGGTGATGTACCTAAAGAAGAGGCAGAGATGATTTCATTACTATTCTTTGCGGAAAAATTTTCATATGATTCGTTCAAACATTCCTTTTCAGGCACTGTTATGTTTTTAAAACTAGGGAATATAGTAGGCACAGCATTCATTTCATATTCAGTTTCATAACTTTTTACACCAACAGTTGATAAATTTGATGGCTTTAAACTACATTCTGCTACTTTTGATAAAATTTTATCCTTGTTTTGTATTGAATTTTCTTTGGAAGGTTCTTCAATAGAGAACTTCCCACTAGAACTCAGCAATTTACCCTTTAGAATATTATCTTTTGTCCTGAATTTATTTAAGGCATCGCAGTGTAGCTTATTACTAGAAACAGAACATTTGTTTAAGTTCTCTGATTTCTTCTTCAGTTGTTCAGTTAAAGCCTTAATTTCCTTTACCAGTTCTTTTGAGGTTGTTTTAATAGATTTATGTGAATTTACTGAAGGATCTTTTGTAATGACTGTTCTTTTATTTTCTTTTACATTTGTTGTACTCTTACAATTTAAATTGCTATTGCAGATAACTGTTCTGTTGCGTGTATTTGTATTTAAAGGTATCACAAATCCTTTTTCATTTATGAGAGGCATTTTTATTATTGACGTAGAAATGCATTTTCTCAACTCAGATGAACCTGATGATCTTGAAGCATTTTGAAACTGATTGTTTAAAACTTTGTTTCCGTTTTCCGAAATAAAATTAATACTTCTACTTAAATTCTGGACAGTTCTTGAAGAACCTGGAAAACAGCTTGCAGTAGTCTTTGAACTATAGTAAGAATGTTTTGATTTAACATTCCCATTTATTGACTGATTTCTAACCACCTTGTACATATTTTGAACAGGCTTTTTCAACTGTGAAGAATGATAAATATGTTTTTTAGGCAGAGAAAGCTTCAAAAAGACATCACTATTATTAGATACATCATTATCACTTTCTTTTATGCTGTTATACTTCTCCATCAATCCTGCAAGAGAAAATTAATTATTTTAATGTCCACATACTGATAGTTAATAAGTTTAACATAAGACATATTTAAAACACTTTTGAAAAGCTATGTTAGACTTTGAACATCTGAGTTCACCAATTAAAAATCTCCTTGATTATTTACAGTGTGAATTTATATACAAGGTGTGTTCGAAAAGTTCGGTGGTTGGTCTCATAATTAAAAAACCGCGCCAGTTAGGATCTTGCACTCACGCAGACGCAGTGAGAGAATTGTCAATTAGAGCCATCTAACGGCCATTTTACGACAGATAAGAGGAAGCGTACACTATGAGCAGTTTAACACAGTCAGTGTGACATAGAGCAACGCATAAACATAAAGTTTTGCTTCATGTTAGGCAAAACGGTGACAGAGACACATGACATGTTAGTGACAGTTTACGGTCAGGAAGCAGTGAGTAAAAAGTGCGTTTATGAGTGGTTTAAACGCTTTACAGATGGAAAGGAGGATGTCAAAGATCAGCCGCAGTCGGGGCGCCCTACAACAAGCACAACTCCATACAATGTGGAACGAGTTCGACATATGCTTGTGGCAGATCAACGACTATCTTTAAGAATGATAGCTGGCGAATTGCATATAAGCCTAGACAGTCTGAGCACCATTGTGCACAAACATTTGCATAAACGTAAGATATGCGCCCGGTTTGTACCGCACTCGCTGTCAGACGAGCAAAAGCAATACTGGATGGAAACCTCTGGAGATTTTATCGACATGTGTGACCAGAATCTGCAATTCTTGGAAACAATAATTACAGGGGATGAGTCATGGTGCTATCAATACGATCCGGAGACCAAGCGGCAATCCATGGCATGGTGTTCAACATCGTTACTCCCTCCTAAAAAAAGTCGTTTGACACAATCCAGGATCAAGACATTGCTGATAGTCTTTTTCGCAGTAAGGGTTTGATCCATCATTTGTACCCGTGGCTACAACCGTCAATGCGGAATACTACGAGGGGGTTTTGAAACGGCTGCTGCTACGCATACGCCAGATTCGGCCACAGTACCGGAATGGACAGTGGAATCCGCTCCATGATAATGCCTTCTGCACACTGCGATCCGTGTAACCCAACTTCTCAACAGGCACCAGGTTCCAGTTTTGGATCACCCTCCATATTCTCCAGATCTGGCTCCTGCAGACTTCTTCCTGTTTCCCCACCTCAAAGAAGTTCTGAAAGGGCAACACTTTTCCTACATTACCGAGATCCAACAACGTGTGACAACGGTGCTTCGAGCCATACCAAAAGAAGCGTTTGCAGACAGTTTCCAACAATTGTACACCCGATGTCAAAAGTGTATTGTTGCTAATGGTGAATACTTTGAAGGCCAGTAAAGCTATTTTGCTTGCTTATCTTGTTTCCTTTTTTTATGGTAAAATTCATCAAATTTTTCAAACACACCTTGTAAAATAAAAAAGAACCTAAAAATATTCTAGATAAAAATATAAACTAATAAAGTGGTTCCCAAACTTCTTTGACTTACAGTGCCTTTTTTCAATTAAAATTTTTCCATGGCACTGTAACCTAAGTAAAAGTATGACTAACCATAAATAAGATATAAAAATAAATAAAACTCATGTACCTTTATTATTTAACTTTTTTTTTTTTACTTTACTAACATAAAATTAATTATTAATGTGATTGATGAGCCTGCAAATCGCTGAGAGTCTTCTCAAAAATGGAATTAAACTGAACACGGCCACCCTCATTTCTTTTCCTATGTTGATTTTTGCTCTATACTTGCTTTTTATTACAGCAAATGCCCAAACAGCAGCTTCACAGAAATACAGCATCGAAAATGGAATTAATCAGTTTTAAATGGTTTCAGAATCCACGCAAACCTATCAAAATTTTCATTTTGAAAGTATTTCTGAAATCAGATAATTAATTGTGATAAGTGCCCTTCAAACATAGTTTTTATATCTTGAGAAAGATCAAATTCATTTGACGTCAAATTTGCTACGATATTAAAAAACAAGCTTTTCTGCATTTTCATTCAATTTTCCTCTCCATACTTTGAGTTTTTTTTTTTTTTTTAAAATAAAAGTTGATATTTTTTCTATTGACTTCAAGAGGTGAAAATTTTTTTTCTGCAGAGAGAGATTAAGCAAATTTAGTTTTTCAAAATTATCACATAAATATGCCAGTTTCATTTAACAAATCAGCCTCATCAAAATCTTCTGCATCTTTGTATCCTTCCTTTTTAAGGAAAATAAAAGTTTTTTTCCTGAAATTAGGAGGTACATGATAAAACATCATAACAAAGCCATAGTGCACTGTTGTCATACAACCAAGGTGAGATTCGGCTCCTATATAATCACCTGGCTTTCAATGGATGAGATTTTATAAAGTTGACCACAGTCACCACACAATTTAACACCTTATTCAGAGCAGGACTGAGATGCTTTGATGCAAGCACTTCTATATAAATAATGCAATGGGTACAGAGTGCATTTAGTGAATAATTACCTGTAATCCTCAGGGCAGCCAGACATGGAGTGAGCTCCATCAATACAAACACCAACGCAGCCAATTCAAATTATTTTCAGACATACATGTATCAAGAATAATCTGGAACAGGTCACTGATATCTTCCAACATATGTTGTATTATGTTATTGAACAAAAGTACTTTTAAAAGCCACTTCCGAGCAGACTCACCAACCACGATGTTCACCACACCTATAACAGATGGTAGAAAAAGTTCTTCTGTGATGGTATGAGGCTTCTTACATTTCACGATTCTGTAAGCCACCTTGCAAGATATTAGATCACAAAACTATTTATCAGAGACAACTAGAATTAATATAACAATTATATTATATAGACTTATTTATCTGAAGCGCTGAGTTTAATTTCACCAAGATTAAAAAACTTAATAGAGCTGGCAACACTTGCTTATATGTTTCCTGCAAGATCTTGCAGAACAGTTCAAATCTGGCACGAAAGATCTACACATTATGGATGTGTCTAAAGTACCAGACAACTTAAGTTGAGGACACTGGATATAGTAAAAAATATATGCATCTGCTGTAGAATATAGTTTTAACATTTCAAGATGCATATTGTATTAATATTACACTATAAAACACACCAGTTTCCAAAAATTGAGAAAAAAATCACAAAAATAGTGATAACTCATCCAAAAATAAGCCAATCCGTGTAAAATTTGAACATGTTGTCAAATAAAGAATTGTTGAGTAAAACTGCAGTACGCAAATTAGTGCTGCTGCAGTCGGAATGTGCCACCTACAAAAAGCATAAATAATAAACTGCAGTACGCAAATTAATGCTCTGCATGTTTGAGAAAAAGCCTATAAATTTCACTGCGATGCTAAGATAAGAAGTCTGGGACAGCAGAATTTCTAACCACAGATTCAGGTATCCAAGAAGTTCAGACAAGGACTGTCAACAGCTAAGACGAGCACCAATGACCGATATTTTTACCACGCTACACATTTCAAGAACTATCAGATAGATTAAATATTCTAAAAAATACAGTATATGATTATCTGAAGAAGACTGGATACATAAGATGTACGAGTAGCCCATACTTTAGTATAGCAAAATATGCTTGTTAGAGTTTTGGGATGCGATTCTTTGTTAAAGCTCTTTTTCTTTAAAATGGCTAATCACTGGAGATGAAAAATGAATACTATACCTGCCATGATGAAACTTTTGAGCTTGACGTGTGAAAAAATTAGAAAAACTCTAGCTTTATTCTGGTGCCTGTCACATACAGAATCATCTGTCTGCCATCTGCCTACCCAGAATGCACTTGAGCACACCCAAGGTAAGCACACCATATATTTACAATGACAAGGCCATTGCAAGAGACATATATTTGCACTAACAGGGTTCATACACATTTCTGCACATGGAAATTAAGGACTTTTAAGGACCATTAATGAAAAATATTAAGGACCCATCAACAAATAGAAAATGAATAAATTCAATGAAAGATATTAGCTATGCCTGAATTTCACTTTTGTGATATTATCCTAAGAATAAAATAATTCCACAAGTAGAATGTATTATTATTAAACATAATTATAAAAACAAATTTGAGAGTAAAATCTACTTTATAAAATTTATTAGGTGGCATTAGATATTTTACCTTTATAATAGTTGGGCATATTTGAAAGAAGACTAGTGACATTTTATTTACGTTTTATTAAGTTGATTTTTTCTTTTATGTCTCATTTTGTCACGTACTTGCTCAGTTTAGAGGTTTGGTAAACAGCACGTAAATTTTATGTCAACGACATAGGTTAAAATGAGAAGTAAAATCATAATCCGCATGATTCGTTACAGAAGCATGGCTGTTGCCACCGCTGCTCTTGCCTAGAGAGAGGCTTGCTGATCAGAACAAACCTGAAAGCCTGATGTAGCCTGCGACTTGTTTTGAAAATGAGGCGTAAAACGATACCAGATAGGATGTCCCGTTTGGCTTTGGTTGTACTACTATTGGCGACTTTTATCGTCTGCACTCGCAAAATGGAAAAGTATCAAATTCTGTGAATGGCCTAGAGTTAACTGCTTTGGAGACAGCCAAACAGCACCTTGATAACTTTTTTATGAATAAGCCTAATGACTTTAAAAAAAGTAATTACATACCTGCCAGAAAAAGAACAAAAATTCATTGAACAAAATAGTACCTATGAAATTCAATGAAATTTCTTTTGTTTTTACACTGCTTCAGTTATATTTATCATCAAACAACAGTATAACTTTCCAGATGATGCAAGAGGAATCACCTGATGTGATAGTAAAAATTATCACCTTTGTAACTGTTATGAAATACATTACCATGAGTTACCAACCCCACTCCCAAATGAATATTATCCATAACTACAGTTCTTTCAAACATAAAATGCCTATTTTAATGAATGAAAAATTCTTTAAAATAGGCACTCCTTTAAGTTTTCCAACCTTCCTCCATTTGCAAATGCAACATGTGTCATCATCTTCGCACAGCACTTACTATCGCCACATCATTTGAGACTGTAGTTCAGGTCAGTCTTCATGTGTGCATGTTTGAAACAAAGAAACATGCTAACTGAAAATGATATCAGGAGGGGGGGGAAACAAGAAAACCCAAACATGTGCCACAGCTTTTGATATTGAGGTCATAAGGCAAGCTGGGCAGAGGAAAATGGGGTAAAAGTATATTTTAGGATACCCCTTGGTGATTTTTGGCAGTACATGGATACCGAGTTTGTGCAATTCTTTGACTTGCATAACGGCTACACAAATCCAAAATAACAAGACAACGAATTGCACAAACTCGGTATCCATGTATACATCGACCTATTTTCACTTAAAAAAAATCCCCGAATTGCACAAAAATGGCACTGCGCACTCCCTTGACTTTATCCATGTACACGTTGACCTATTTTCACTTTTAAAAAATCCAAGAATTGCACAAACTTGCATTGTGCACTCCCTTCGCTTTGTCCATGTACACATCGATATATTTTCACTTAAAAAATCAAATCCAAGGTTAATCTTCGGATTATGATAACTTGGCGATTTTTTGGCGAAAATTTGGCAACCAACATTGCTACAGCAACCTGCTAGTTTTTTTTTTTTTTTTTTGGACGCCATTTTGTTGTCCCGAAGTAAAGGCTTTTTTTTTTTTTTTAACTCAACATTTTTTTCCAACAATCTGCTAACCGAATTACGCTTATGCTGGAACTTTTATGGAACAAAAGTGCTTAATCATGACGAAGATTAGGTGCGAAATTGGGAGAAAGTGCAGAATCGCCCACTGCTTGCCGCGTGTTTAGAATTGCACATACATAGTATCATCCATGTACACGTCGACCTATTTTCACTTAAAAAAACATCCCAGAATTGCACAAAAATGGCATTGCGCACACTCTTGACTTTATCCATGTACACTGCTAAAGTCCTAGATATTAACTTTTATCGCCTTACCAAAATATCGCCAAACTACCTGTTACCATATTCCAAAGATTAGCCAAACCCAATTCTACAATACAGGCAAAGAAAAATAAATAATCTCAATAAACTACATTTTAAACCAAACAATAAAATAACACAAAAAAGGAAAAACATGTTAATACATTTAAGCACTACAAAATGCAAATATCCACAGTACAACTCTGATATATGCCCTAATTTCACCAAATGTGGCGATGTGTGTTCTGCGCTGGTTTTTGGCGCGATTGCGTGTTGTATGGCAACCCTGTTGATGTCGAAAAATCTTTCACTGGAGTTAGTTGGTTCGCGTCAAGCTCTGTGTCTGAGAAGCTAGGGATGGAAAGATAAAATGGTGGAAGTTGTTGAATTGAAGTTTGGCAAAAGGAAATATCGTCGTGGCCATCCTGTTGAGGGGCAGTGGGTATTTGGAGGTGTGGAAAGAGGGTCTGGGAGATTATTTTTAGTGGCTGTGCATGATAGAAGTAGGGATTTGTGATTATTTGTTATTTTATTTCTTTGTGAACCATAGTATGAATTTTCTAGATAGTGTGTCTGGCTGTCATATAAAATACGATAGTGATTACGTGGCGACATGTTAAAGGCGGTATGAAATTGGTTTTTCTGCTGTTCGAAAAAGCATTAATTCATGGTAAGTGCATTTTATTTTATTCTTGTTCTTATTTTGTAGAATGTTATGTTCATTGTTTTTTTAGTATGAATTTCTGTCGTTACTGTTGTTTTTTTGAATTGCTTGAAATTTATTTTAGTTATTTTGTTGATTAGTGCGTACTGTCTAAATAGTGCAATTCGTAGATGTTTTTTCAAGTTGAAACAGAACGCTGTATACATGGTATTCTTTGAAATTTGTTGTTATGTTAATTTATTAAAGTGAGGTGTGCGTAGTTTAAAGATTCGTTTGTTGCCTAAATTTTGCAATTTGTAGATTTTTTTTTAAAGTTTAAACAGGAAGCTGTGTACATGGTATTCTTTGAAATTTATTGTTATATTAATTTATTAAAGCGAGGTGTGCATAGTTCGTATATTCGTTCGTTGCCTAGATTGTGCCATTCGTAGATGTTTTTTTAAGTTAAAACATATCGCTGTGTACATGGACTCTTGTCAAATAATTTTAGTTAGAAACTTCACGGTTTTGCTATCTAAATTTTTTGTTTTTGTTTTGGATTTTTAGCTTAAATTGTGTGTTCAAAACATGGTTTTTGCATTTGCGAAAAACGTGTTTTTGGAGACATTTTAGGCTTAAAGTTCGAAATGTAGACAAAAAATTTAGATAGCAATATGGCAGCGTGGAGTATATCAGAATAGTTCCACATCCACTTACGCTATTTAGAAGTTTCTTTGTCTTTAGTATGTGGCACACAAAATTCCTTAACAGCATCCAAAAACATTTTAAAATTATCTGAACTCGAATCCGTATTATCGGCGTCGCCACATCTGAACCTTTCTTCCTACAAACCCAATCAAATCCATCTAAATGGTTTTTACATTCGACTAGACACATATCCTTCCTACATACAGGACACTTATAATGGCTACTAAGTAAACCTTCATTTACACACCAGTCAATTAACGCTCCTTTCCCCGTTCGTTCCAAATCGTACAGAAACTTCAAATTAATCTTATTACATTCAGCCATTCTACCGTCTAAACAATAAAACCAACTCACACCACAAAAGTGCTTACAAAACATCCCATGAATAAAATTTCCCAGAATCATGCACCCGATTACGTAACAATAGGGTTTCCATAACATTCAACCACCCAGGCTACCATAAATGAAACAACAACTTGGCAATAAATGAAACAACTTGGCAATAAATGAAACAAAAACTTCGCCATAATACAAGGAGTACCTTAACGTCTACTCTAACCAAAAATGGAACCCTATTCTAAAATCACAGACTATAGTATAAACTATTTTAAAACAAAAATATGATGAAACTGTCCAATACAATAATTCACCTGGTTGCCCATAGCAAATCAAAATTTGCCAGTGCCAAGCAAAAAAATTAAGTTTTCAGTTCATTTAATGCACCATATTCCTCCAATAACAATAATGCAATTATTGTTACCAGCGCAAAACTAGTTTATTTTAAAAGCAGCTACTAAAGAATTTCAAATAATTATTATTTTTCATTCACAACTGGATTATTTATAATTTAAAAACTTTTTCGAAACAGTTCTGAGAAGCTTCAAGTCCATTCCTAGTTCCCTGCCTATGTGCCTGACCGTGTTTGGTATTCTGTCCTGATACTTTTCAGTCATCTCCATATGTTTAGTAGTCTCAATAAGATAAATAATTTGCAAATTATTCTAAAAATAGCAGACGTAATCAAACAAAACAAATATAAATAAAATACTTCATATCCTAAGAATCATATTTCAATCTCTTTCAAACAGCCCTGAAATTGTAGCCTTGACTCTAATAACACCCATATGAAAACTGATTTATACCATATTATTATTTATAAGTACTTTACACGGAGCTTTTCTTTCAATATTAAATTAAATAAATAATCTTAGAGTATGCAACTAATAACGTTAGCAGTAAACAATACATACAACTTCATATAAAACTTACTTGTGTAATAGTCCAGTTCTCTCTCAAGAGCCTTGGTTTGAGGATCATCGAAACTTTCGAAATCAGACATTTTTCTCCAGACGTCCCTTTATTCAAAATTATTTCTTTCAATGAGTGGTAATTTAAAAATTACATTAACTTTCCGGAAATGAAAAAATCTTAGTAAAACATCTTGAAATTCGGTCTCGACTCCATTCTACAAATCCTAACGAAAGCACAACAAGCGTCTAAGTCTAGCAGGTCACGATGCGGCGAGCATGCGCATTATGAGACTCGACCGTCAATCTCGGAACGCCTGCTGTTGTTAGCTGGGCGAGTTCAATATACGCAGGTGAGAGGAATAGAAAGGAAAGGTTCCGGAATGGTTTCCAACGGAAATAATTAATTAGATCGTGGAATGGCTTTCAGGGAAAAAAGATACTAGGGATACTAGAGAAAAAAGGGATATGCTCGCTGACTTATTCCCGAACCGTGGAAAGAGTTTCACTGCTTGTTTTTATGCTCTGCTTTATTGAACATTTTGTTTAAGGACAGATTAATTTTTATCAATTTATGAAACAAAAAAAAAAAAAAAAAAATTTCGTAGAGAAATACGTATTTGCAATGTAAAATTGTATGCTTATTTAAAATTTGCTTAAAGGCATAACATTTTGGCGAAATTACATAATTTTGTTTATTCCAACGAAATTTAATATTTATTAGAACTCTTATTACGGTAAAGTAACCGAGTATTACATGAAGTTACAATACGTAAACTGTAAAGATTTTATTTACTTAAGGTATTGTAGAAAATTGTAACTGTAAATTTTTTATATTTATAACATTTACCTCTAATATGATAGCAACAAAACATAATTACTTAACTTTTCTTTTATCTGGTACACAAAATAAGTAATGTGTTTTAGTATGATGTATTTTGATGGAGCTTTAAAAGACATTTCTTTATACGAAAAGAGTTTTATATTCACTTGTGAAAGAACAAATTCTGTTTACACAGAATAAATTTGTTTCCTGGAATAAAATCCAGTTAGAAAGTTAACAGTACTTTGTTATACTTAATTAACCAAAATTATTTAACATCAATCCTGTGCACTGCTTTCAGTTGTTGATTTAGATATGTTACAAATTTAGAGTTTACACACATTCTGAAAATTAACTGTAAGAGGTCTTTTAATGAGTTAGACCATTCAGCCATTGGTAATCAAAAGGTCTTTCAAATTTGATTTTTCAAATGCATTGATTCTAAATACTGGGCTATAAATGATTAACTTAATGAATTTGCATTATTACAGAAGTGTCAAACAAAATTTATATTATGAAATAATCAGAATTAATAAAAATTTTCATAATAAATATTTCTTAATTAGTGTTTTATAAGAAAAACTAAAAAAGTGTAAATTTACAAATAATTTTCAAAATTAAACAAAAAGGGCAGACAATCAATAAAAATAATAAATAATACACTTACTAACGAAACGCTAGCTACCCTAACAAAGCAGGAGCCCGTTCATAGTAGGCGCTCAATCCCGGAACGATTGAAATTCCCTATACTCAAAATCCCTTTTCCTTTCTCCTCTTAGCTCATCCCTACTTTTACGTACCATACCTACAAATCTTGAACTCTTCCAGTAAACAATAGCATTCGTTCCGGGATTGAGCGCCTAATCATTATGAGCCGCCGCTTCTATGACCGCCGTCTGCCCCTGCTACTGGAATTATTCCAGACTGGCGACGGGGCTGGCGCTGCGATCACGAAAGCTGGAGGCAGTGTCTGAACATAGCTCCGAAATTTTTTAAATAACTGTTTCAGTAAATATTTTCAACTCTCTAAAAAAGTTTAATGCACCTTTCCTATGCAATGTCTCATTCAATCAAATTGAAAAAAAGGAAACTTCGCTTCTTCGAAACTTCGAACTTCTTTGTAGCTGTTCACTATCAACACGAAGAAATCCAAAAGAAACCCTGACACGGAATATTCAGATAAGTAACATTCTGTTTCTCTATAACAAAATATGTATTCTCTATCACTAAAATGTCATTAAATTTTTTTATTTATTATTTTTCATAAGATTCTAGCATTATACAATAGTAATAGTTGCGTTAAGTCATGTGGTTCTTTTTTTTTCGTAACTATTCCGTAGAGACGCCACATTCCTTATCAGTAGTCCGTTCTTATCAGCAATTCACACCCTTAGGAAGGCCCCCCTCTTCGTGCTTAGGAATTTCTTGAGAGAGGAAAAATGGGGATCTCTTGACCATCGATGAGTATAGATTGTGATTTTTGTAACTAAGATCCCGACTTTTTTTTTTTCAGGTCTCAAACTTAGAATTATGAGCAAATAAAAATACAGTGTGACGGAATTTGTTAAGGTTGTACTATAATAAATTACAACGGTTAAATTAATAAATTAATTTTATATTTAACTAATATTTAAGAAAAATAAACTGTGTAATTTATTTTTGCTGAAATGCTCTCACACTGTGTATGGATTTATGATTTTGTCAATTACTGGTTTTTATGAAATATACATGAATTTTTTGGGACGGTAATATTTAATGTTACTTTAGTTTAAAATATTATGTACATCTCTGTGATGATATATGTCTTTTCTTGTTAGGTCTCAAGATAACGGCATACACATTACCATGTAGGAATTCATTCATTCATTCTTTTTTTTCTTTTTTTTTTTAATTAGCTAAAGTTTGCTTCTTAAAGACACGAATTTTTGCAGATGAACTCCTTAACTACACTCATGGACACAATCGTATTTTAGGGTATTTTCTACTTCTTTTCCTTTTCTTTCTATAGGCCCTTTTTGTCCACTCTATTATTTTGGGCCATTTTAATTTAAATTTATTTTGTCCCATCTTTTCTTTCTGGCCTTTGAACTCGTACAAATGTACGAAGTTCCTTTTTACTCCTCAAATACAAAATTGCCCCTCTTTCTATATACCTTTCCTTCGCACCTATGCTTGATTTTTCGCCCATCGGTGCAGAAAGACTTAGCGGGTGCAAAACAAGACATCTGTCTACTTTGTCTGTCTGTCTGTCAGACTGGCGACGTTTCTCCCAATTTGGCATTGTGCTGGTGGATTTTAGTTAGGAAGTCATCCGACTGAAAGTGGAACTGTGAATTAGCATGTTTAATTTATAATAGTTATGAGTGACTCTTTGTCGTCCAAAAATCTGCCGATTCTAAACCAAATCGTATTTCGAATATTGCTATTGAAAAAAGAAAACCATTCGAAAGACAAAATGCACCTTTGTATCTGGTACATTTATGCATCATAAGTGAAAGATATTGAATTTGTATAAATAAAAAAAGATTTAATAAGATATAATATTAATAACGTGACATAGGGAGTAATGGCCAAAATCAGAAATATAATCAGATAAAAACAAAATAAATATGCTTTGCCTTAAAAATTTGTGGAGAAAAACTTGGTGTTATAATAAATTAAAACATGGGATTGTAACTAGGGAATTTTTATTTCGAATGAATGTATAAATTAGTTTTTCAAGGTCTTTGCCACAAAAAATTACATCATGGTATCAAAATGCATAGACCCCACAAGATGCCGATTCAACTTCAAAATTGTAGTGTTACTCATAGAACCCTTATGAATGATAACAATATAATACATTTAATGCAAAACATACTTAATGCAATTTCATTATGGAACATTATTAATTTTCATGGATATCCATTACAAAGAGAAAACTTAGGAACTTATTATACAGTTAACGTAATAATATAAATTGGGGAAAACCTCACATTACACTTCAAACTTTTACATTTACCGATTTAGAAATTAAGAAATACTCATGTTCAGAGCTGCTGTAAAGCTGTTTAATGTACTGCCACGTAAAACAAAATTTTGTCACAACGTATTCCACCTATATGAAGTAACTGTTGTTATTGCTAATTAGCAATGGAACTTTCAGCAACAACAGAAAACTGCAGTAAAATTGGGCTGAATTTCTTTATTTGTTTAAAATCATTCTGAATAAATCTCACAATAATTTTATGTTCACATATAGTTTATTTAACTGTATTTTCTGAATAAGAACAAAAAATTCTGTTTAAACTGGTGTTAGCATATGAACTGTAATTTACAGTTTGTCATCTTATGGGTGATCCAAGAAAGTCTCGTAACTTACTGAAGATTGCTGTATCATTTTTCACATATGGCATTCATTTGCATTAATAGAACTGTGCTGTGTATAAGAGTACGTAAGATTTAAAATTGGAGCCTACCAGAACTCGGTACCTCTCAGTTTTAAGTGAAATCATAATTCCAGTTAGTGTTCATCCCTCTTGTATTCTTCTGTTATCGGGGCTGGATTCAGAAAAAATGTATGTATGTAGTATTGTAAGGATCTTAAGTTTTACTAACGTTTATTTTATTTCAAATCTTTACTATCACTTCTTATTTTCTACTTCCGGCCAGAATTATAAGCGTTAAAGTATTTATGCAAAGTTTGTCTGGCGAACGCCAAGTATTTAAGTTGTGGCTTTTTGCCAAGCGAGAGGGAGGAAGCAGTTAGTCGAAGCAGGCCGCTGGTTGCCGTCCAGGCCAGAGGTTTTAATCCTCTTGATAATTTTTAAACGTATTGTAGTGTTCACAGTTCTCTGTACTACATACGCTTCATGTTAATATAAGGCCAATCTTCCACGTTTATTGTTTTAAAGTTAAATTAGAGTTTAGTTTTATTTTTTATATTCTTACGTTTAGACCACAAGTGGTGGGTCATTGTATTCCGAAGTACGGAAGTTATTGTAAATAGAGAAAAATAAAGGGTTTTGTATACCCTTCTTGTGTATCCTGTCTGCTTCCCACAGTTTTGAACATAGCTTTAGTAAGCTCTCTGTTCCGAGTCAGGTCCATTGCATGTTTCCGAACGAAGGTTAGACGAGAACATTGACATAGCCCTGATAGTGGCGCCCGAACGAAGAAGAATAACCATGGACGAGTTTCAAGAAGAACCTGTGCATGCCTGCAGAAGCGGCTCAGAATCCAGAAATGCCAGCTGCCGCCCTGGAAGGATTTGGTTACATCGTCCCAGACCATGCGCGCTTCGATGAAACCAGAAGCAACATTTAATGGTGGAAACTCACCGGTAACCAGTTTTTTGGAAAAATTGGATGACCACTTCATGCTCTACCCCGTGCCACGAATTTCCAAAAAGTTACCTTAGCTACCAGCGCTTTGAGGGGCCAAGCGCGTAACTGGTTCAAA